CACTTTCCTGTGTTGAGCCCTCCCTCCGTACAGCCAAATCTTAATCTTCATTAGCCTGGTGAACTCTACTAGCTCCACCCTGAAGGCTCCATGAAACCACGCTCCCACCACCACACAACATTCCACAGGCTCCAGGTGGGTGACAGCTGACCTTGGTGTACCCTGAAGCTTTTGCTGAGTGGCCTCAGGCCCAGTACTCGTGCTGAGTTTGAAACTGATTTAACCTGGTGCACACCACTTGGCCCACCCTGATGACTCACTAAGAACATAACTCATGCAAATCGTGTACTGCCTGATGCTGTTTCAGTGGCTGACACAGACAGGCAGCTGGTAGGCAGTGGCGGGTCTTGGGGTGCCTTGGGTCATTTGCTGACCTGCCAAAGGCCTGGTATGGGAAGCAGCAGGCCTAGGTTAGCAGTTTAGCTTTTCTCACATGTACCCAGGCTAAGCACAGGCACCTAGCAAATGCAGGTTGCTTTATAGTTCTTAACAGGTAGCCCCAGCTGGTCACAGGCAGCATCTGACATTAACCTGCACCAAAGTCCCTTCACAGAGGCCCCAGAACTAACAGAGCACACAGAGCTCCATCCAATAAACACTATAAGTGCCCACACCTAAAGGGAGGTCTCACCTGGCACCACAATGTGCTGGGGCAAATTCTACAATGTGAGGTCATCCCCTGCACAGATGCTCATACACTGGTCACGACCAATTTGCACAGCCAGCCAGCCAGCCTGAGGGACAACAGCACCCATGGATGTGGTAACAACAATCAAGGTTTAAATACAACAGGAGAGCAAACATAAACCACACAAGGAACACTCCTGGCTCAGGTGATAAGGGAGACTGCACCACTGGGCCCCACAGGACACCTACTACATTAGTCCACCCAACCAAGACTGGGAGACATAGCAGCTCTCCCTAATACATAGAAACAAACACAGAGAGGCAGACAAAATGGGAAAACAAAGAAACATGCCTCAAATGAAAGAACAGGAGAAATCTCCAAAAAAAGAGCTAAATGAAATGGAGGTAAGCAATTTACCAGATACAGACTTCAAAGTAATGGTTATAAGGAACTTAGTGAGAACTGCAACAAAGAGGTAACAAGCACAAAAAACACATAGAAAACATAAAAAAGAACCAGTCTGAAATAAAAAATAAAATAACTGAAATGAAGACACTAGAAGGAATAAACAGATTAGATAAAGCAGAGAACTAACATAGATACTTGGAAGACAAAGTACCAGAAACACCCATCAGAGCAGCAAAAAGAGAAAAGTTTTAAAAAATGAGGATAGTCTAAGGGACCTCTTGGACAGCATCAAATGTAACAACATCTACATCATAGAAACACCTATCAATAATCACTTTAAATGTAAATAGATTAAATGCTCCAATCAAAATCATAAAGTTGCTGAATGGATAAGAAAACAAGAACCATACATATGCTGTCTACAAAAGACCCACCTCAGAACAAAGGGTACATACAGACTGAAAGTAAAGAGATGGAGAAAAACATTTCTTGCAAATGGAGATGAAAAAGAGCTGGGATAACAATACTTATATCAGATAAAATACACTTAAAAAGGGCATAATAAGAGGAAAAAGAAGGACATTAGATAATGATAAAGAGTTCAATCCAACAAGATAATATAACCAGTATAGGAGTATCAAAATATATAAAGCAAATCTTTTTTTTAAAAATTTTTATTTATTTTTTTGTTACAGATGTTTCTCCTTTTTTTCCCCATTGGCACCCCCCTCCCCACTCCACCCCCGCCCTGTCCCCGGCTTTGTTGTCCATGTCTATTGGTTATGTATACATGCATATAAGTTCTGTGGTTTATCTCTTCCCAACCCCCCCACTCCCTCTTCTGAGGGATGTCAGTCTGTGCCCTACTTCCATATTTCTGGGTCTACCGTATTCCTCAGACTGTTATGTTCACTTTATTCTGTATATAAGTGAGATCATGTGGTATTTGTCTTTCTCTGCTTGGCTTGTTTCGCTTAGGATAATACTTTCCAGGTCCTTCCATGTCGTCTCAAAGGATAAGAGATCTTTCTTTCTTACAGCTGCGTAGTACTCCATTGTGTATATGTACCACTGCTTTTTTATCCATTTGTTTACTGATGGACACTTGGGCTGTTTCCAGATCTTAGCTATTGTAAATAGTGCTAAAGCAAATCTTGATGGACATAGAAGGAGAGACTGACAGTAACACAGTCACAGTAGAGGATTTTAACACCCCATTGATATCAATGGATAGATCTTCCAGACAGAATATTAACAAGGGAAAAACAGCCTTAAAGACACACTAAGTCTGGATTTACTTGGTATCTTCAGAGCATTTCCCTTCAAAGCAAAAAATACACATTCTTCTCAAGTGCACATGGGACATGTCTCAGACCACATGTTAGGACACAAAACAAGTCTCTACAAGTTCAAGAAGATTGAAAAAATACCAAGTGAGGCACCTTAAACCTTTTCATCATCACAACAATCTTAAAAGTAAGTAATATTATCTAGATTTTATAGGTGAGGAAACTGAGGCTTCAGAAAGGACAGTGTCTCACAAAAGGTTACCAGCATGTGCTTATTGTTTCATTGTCTATTGTGTTAACAACATAGCAAGTACAAAATCAAGGGCTATAACTATAAGATGTATAGGGTAAGGCAGGTAATGTAAATGTTGGGTATTCTGTGGTGAACCAGAGACCACATATCCTATTTAAAGGGAGCAGCTGCCAACTGCTGAAATACAGTCATGTGGTTCCAATATTGCCAGGTCTTCAGATTTTAGAAGAGAGGTTAGATGTCTCAAATTTTACTTTAAATGTGTGTTGTTTTTTTTATCCTCATCCGAGGGCATTTTTCAATATTTTGTTCAGATAGAGTGGGAGGGAGAGAGAGAGAGAGAAACATCGACGTGAAAGGGACACATCGAGTGGCTGCCACCCACACGACCCAACCAGGGCCGGGGACAAACTGCAACCGAGGTACGTGCCCTTAGCGGGAACCGAACCCGGGTCTCTCTGGACCGCAGGCCGATGCTCTAACCACAGAGCCAAACCGGCCAGGGCTTTAAATGTGTTTTTATTGAATTTTAAAGAGAGAGGAAAGGAGAGGGAGAGGTTAAGGAGGAAACACGGGTCAGCTGCCTCCTGCACGCCCCCTACTGGGAATCAAGCCTGCAACCCAGGCATGTGCCCTGACTGGAAATCGAACCCAGACCTCTCAGTGCATGGGACGATGCTCAATCCACTGAACCACACTGATGAGCTCAAATTTTATTTTAAATATTAGAATAATTTTATTTAAAATATTGGAATACTTTTTAAATGCTGGCAATTGATTCGAATATTTGAAAAACAGAGTTGGCTGGATTTGCTCTGCAGGATGACAGTTTGTAGATATAAGCTTTTTTTTAATTGACAGATTAGTGATCTAAGAATATACTGATACCTCAACTTCAATGTGACTTCTTCATGAACCAAAGTAATGGGGAATAGGGAGAAATCATAGCATCAGTATCAATCTCATTTTCCACTGAATATTCTATCAGAAGTGCGGTTTATTTCAGGTCCTGTGGTGAAGGTGTTAATAAATAGGCAAAGATTAAACAGTTCACCAGAAAAAAAGATAGACTTTGAATAATATTAAAACAAAAACAAATCTGTTTTTAGGTTATTGAAATTGACTATATTTGTGTGATGAAAAATCCGAATATAATTAATGCACACTGAGGCTTTTAAAATAATGGGGATGGGTTGGAGTTATTGATTGTAACTTTTAGAAAAAAGATATGACAATTTGAAAAAGAAATTTATGCTGTCATTTTTAACTTATAGCAAGCCATTTGAAAATACTGTACATGCTGCCCAGCCAGTGTGGCTCAGTGGATTGAGCGTTGCCCCATGGACTGAGAGGTCCTGGTTTGATTCCCAGTCAGGGCACATGTCGGGGTTGTGGGCTCAATCTCCAGTAGGGGGCGTCAGGAGGCAGCCGATTGATGTTTGTCTCTGACATTGATGTTTCTCTCTCTCTCTCTCTCACTTCCTCTCTTTTTAAATAAATAAATTAATTAAAAAATATTTAGAAAAGAAAATACTGTACATGCTTTGACAATAAACTAAGCTCTATTTATTTAAAATATGGTTTCATTGATTTTTTAAAGAGAGGTGAAGGGAAAGAGAGAGAGAAACATCAATAAGAGAGACACATTGATCGGCTGCCTCCTGCACACCCCCACTGGGGATTGAGTCTGCAACCCGGGCATGTGCCCTGACCAGGAACCAAACCAGCAGCCTCTTGGTCCATGGGTTGATGCTCAACCACTGAGCCACACTGGCTAGGCCAGTAAGTTAATTATTATTTAAAAGTTTCAATGAAATCATCAATGTGATACAGGAAAAAGAAATTTAGGTAAAATGAATTACTTTTCCTCACTGACATCAATTAAAAAGTTTCAAGATATCTTCCCACTGGGGGAAAAACATTCAATGACTATAATAAGATTTTAAAGAAGGTGAGATTAAGATAGTAGCCTTAAATTTGTGATATAACTAGTAATGTCATGGTAGAATGCTATTTGAACATGTTTAAAACTAATCAGGATTTCGCCCCCACCCCAAACTTTGTAGTTTGCTCTCATTTCTGCCTTATTTCAGATCAGAAGAATCTCTCCCGTATACATGTAGCTTGCAAATACTTTAAATCACAGCTTTGGGTTTTGTAAAAAAAGTAAGTAACCCAGTTAATTGATATTTATTTAAGTACTCCACTAACACTGCACTTATTTAAAATGATGGGAACCCATATTAAGTGATAAAGTGTTGATAAAGCTGGACAAAAGACTTAATCTCTTTGTCCCTGAGTTTATGTCTAGAATGAGGATGGCATTGTTATGAGAATTAAATCATGCAACATACTTGGCACACAGTAAGTGTTTAACAAATATCAGTTCTTATCATTATTATCCAATAAAACGGTTACTCACTCTTTTGTTGAGACAAATAACAGGCCACAGGCTGCAACCCAGAGTACAACAACAGCAGAGACAACCACACAGCAGCCATTTCACATTGACTGGGAGAGCCTTTTTCAAACACGCATTCACACGACCAATGCTGGTCTTAAATTCTTCCGGGGCCACCTATAACAAGGGCAGAAGTTGTAACAGTTTGTGGGTAACTTTCCACAATTTATCTCTAAACCTAAAGAAAATGTTTGTCTTATTCTAAGTATTTTAAGGAATTACACATTTAAATATATTTCCTCCCTACCTTCCCCAATAAATACGTATTATATATTCCTGGATGACATTAGAAAGCAAAACAATGTAATTTCATGTTTACAGAATTTTTTCTGATATTTAAAAACAATCTTCTGAAATTACCAATAATACAATGACAACAATAAAATTGGTGGTAAAGAATACCCATCAATAGCCCTGGCCGGTTTGGCTCAGCAGTTAGAGCATTGGCCTGCGGACCAGAGAGTCCCAGGTTCAGTTCCCGCTAGGAGCACATACCTCAGTTGCAGTTTGTCCCTGGCCCTGGTTGGGTTGTGCGGGAGGCAGCCACTTGATGTGTCCCTTTCACGTCGATGTTCTTCTCTCTCCCTCCCACTCTATCTGAACAAAAATGGAAAAATGTCCTCAGGTGAGGATAAAAAAGAATACCCATCAATGCTGTCTCAAAGGGTAATAGATTCTTCTTTTTTACAGCTGCATAGTATTCCTTCCTCTCTCCCTCTTCCTCTGTCTAGAGATAAATGCAAAAATGTCCTCGGGTGAGGATTAAAAAAAAAAGACAACTGTCAAACTTTACCACCTGGAAAATTCACAACATAATTTTCACACTTGCCTTGTTTCCATTGTTTGTAGGTAAAAGCTACACTAACAAAAGACTGTGGGGTGATCACATTCAAGAACTGGTCTTAGTATTCACATAAAAAGGACTCGTGATTGCTGTAAAGTTTAAAAGTTGAAAAGTCATTATACAAATTTAATATTTTAAATTACTACCTCCATTCCTGGAAGTGGTTATTTGTGCTTCTCTGTAAACAATAACAAAGTCAGTTCAAAGGCAACAGCATGAGACGCATAATTAGATTTATACCAAAAATTCTGCTTGAGGTTATACGATTCAAAGATATACTAAAGATGATTTAATTTCAGTGAAATCATATTTCTGAATCACGAAATTATTCCTTTTGATTTAGAAAGTTGTCAGACTGTAAAATCTATGGGAGAAAATCCAGCACCTGGCTGTGCAAGGAAGACTATGAAACTGTCAGGAAAAAGAAGCTATTGTAAAATAAAACCTCAAATAGCATGTTTGGTATAAAAAATATGGAGGTTTACAATTCTTCTAAGTAAAAATTAAACTATAGGAATCAACTTATTACATTTTAGTCTTTTAGTCAACACTACAAAATATATACCTATTAGCAGATGTTACAAAGATACATGACCACACAACTCAGCACCATCATTATTAAAACTTTAAGTAGTTATATTAGCTTTATTCACATCATTCATGCCAATTTTCTTCCTAATATATTAACTAACAAAAGTTGTGAAAATTATGAGGCTCAAACCTCGTTCGTTCTAGATGGTCGGCAATATGACCTAAAGGCAATTAGTGAGTAAAAAGAATTCCAGTTAAATGACTAAATTTCCAAGGTAAATTTGAAAAGAAATTCAGAGAACCGTGGATTATAGTGGAAAACATTAAACACTAACAGGCTAAACACATTAGACAAATCAAGATCTGAATTCTAGTAACTTATTAGCTATGAAAAATCCTAGGCAAATTCGTTTACTTTTTCTGAGTTTTAGTTTCCCAGCTATATAAAACGAGAGTAACAGTCTTTGTTTCATATACCTCACAGGGAATGGAAATCATACCTTAGAAAGAACCTCTTAACTATAATGCTTTGAAAAAGGAAGTCAGTGAATCATATTTCTGTCTAGATTTGGAGATTTTGCATGAAGTCTCACTCAAACAGCTTTGCTTCACATTTAATTATGCTACATTTTGAATTCAAATTCAATGCTCTTCAGTTCTTAACTTCTTCAGAGCAAAAAATATATTATATTTATTTTTAAAGAAATTTTTATAAGAATTTGAATTTATTTGAACCAAACTAATGACATGCCAGGAAGCAGGATGCTCCCAAAAGATGTTCTTTTTATTTTTATTTAAAAACATTTTGTTTTCCTTATTGACTTCTTTTAGAGAGAGAGGAAGGGAGAGGGATAGAAACATCAATGAGAGAGACCATCGATGGGCAGCCTCCTGCATGCCCCCCACTGGGGATCGGGCCCACAACCTGGCATGTGCTCTGACCGGGAATTGAACTGGTGACCTCTTGGTGCATGGGTCGACGCTCAACCACTGAGCCACACTGGCTGGGCAAAAGATGTTCTTTTTAAAAACAAGGTGCCAAGTTGCCATCTTAAGATTTACCTCTCAAACAGTAATATTCAACCTCTTTTTTTCCTAGCATATTAATATATTTCACTTCAATCTGTAATATAATATTACTACCCATTCTTTACAAATTGTGTATCCAGAGACAAAAACACACTTTTAAAACATGGCAAATTTTGATATAAACGCAAGTAAATCATAAAATTATTAAAACTTTCTGTTACTGGCAATGTCGGCTCTTGGTTCTTGCGTCTGGAAAAGAAAGAATTCAGAGCCAAGAACTCTAGCTCAAGAGAGTTTATTTAGTATACAAAGTGAAAGTACACTCGAGGAGGAGATTCGAGTGTGCTGCTCAGAGAGCTGCCTTGACCTTTTAGAAAGAAAGTCACAGAGGCAGAAGTGAGCCAGCTGGGCTGCATGGACTCAGGAAACAAGTTACAGGGGCAAAAGTAGGGCCCTTGGAAACAGGTTCAGGGGGCTCGCCCTGGATGAATTACCACTGCCTGCTGCTCTCCTGGTTGCAAGTTGCCTGAAGAAAGAAGCACAGGCGTACTCTAGAGACAGAGAGAACATGCACTGGGTCCTGTCTTCAGGGTGATCTGTTTTGTAAAGGCAGGAATTTTAGGGGAGGTCTGAGGGGAGGATCTCAAGAGAATATTAATCAGCTTTCCTGGTGTGTCCTTTCAAGGTCATGGTCTCTATTTATTGGTAGGCACTGGGGCGGGGCGAGGGGGGTCATTAGTCATTGCATCTGGTCCCGCTGTCAGCCATGTTGTTGCTTCATCTGGTTTTGCTGTTTTTCTGGGCCCTGACTGTAACTGAGGTCTAGATGTTATCTCTAGCTTTACCGAAACTCTGAGTTTTGTTGACCAGGGGCTTTGTTCCAAAGAGTATTTGATGCTGATCAGAATCTCACTGTCTTGAGGGCTTAAGGCTTAAAGGAGTGGACGTGCAAGGAAGAAGGTGCGGGTGAGTCAGGGTGCTGGACAAGGCCAGTTTGAATTAGCTATGTGTCTCAGTTTCCCCATTCTGCTTGCCAAGGAATTTTCCTAGCTTCTTGCCATCCTGCCTCATTTTCATTTATAAATTTAAGTGCTTGTAATTAGAATTTAAAATTTTATTTTAAAAGTACATTTTTAGCCTGGCCAGTGTAGCTGAGTTGGTTGAGTGTCGTCCCATGCACCAAGAGTTTGCCAGTTCAATTCCTGGTCAGGGCACATGCCTGGGTTTCAGGCTTGATCCTTAGTGGGGGACATACAGGAGGAAGCTGACTGATGTTTCGTTCTCACATCGATGTTTTTATCTCTCTCTCTCCCTCTCTTTCTCTAAAAAATCAATAAAAATATTTAAATACATAAACTGTAACATTTTATTAATCGATGTTACCTCAACAAATTCAAGGCTGGAATTTGGAACAGAGTATTTTCATTTGGTTCATTAAAATTATAAGGCCATAAAACAGTTAATACAAAAAGCTATGGTTCTATTTATATGTACATTAGAAAGAACTTCCAGGTGTTCCTATAAATCCTCAGTGTATTGTTTCACAGTACTAACTTAATGCCCATGTAACTCTGGGCAAAGTTTTACATTGTTAAACTATCACTGTTCTCTTGGGAACTGAACTCTTTCCTCTGAAGCTTTGGATTTGACATTGCATTTGACTTTTTATGTAGTAATTGATATGTTCCAGGGCAATGATGGATTGGAATCTACCTCAAATCCAAGCATAATGAGTACATTTTGTTATATACTTATCACCAACTCCTATTCAAGAAGAGTACCAGACTCATTTTGCTAAACTAACTTCAAAGAGTAGAAGTACATGAACCTCAACTAATTTTCAAAATTATTTTTATTTCTGCAAATGTTGAATATTTTTTACAGTTTAAAAAATGATTTGTTTTGAAGTTAACATCGACAAATCTTAAAACTGAAAAGGCAAATACGTGAAGGAACTAAAAGTGTAAATAAGGTATTTGGGAAGTGAAGACTGGAAATTTTCTCACTCAGCACCCAACCCCCTTCCCCTATGACAGCTGTCAGTCTGTTCTTTGCAGCTATGAGTCTGTTTCTATTTTGTTTGTTTATTTTGTTCATCAGATTCCACATATAAGTGAAATCATAGTGGGTTAGGTGAAATAGGTGAAGGGATTAAGCAAAGGAAAACAAACTCACAGACACAGACAACAATATGGTGATTACCAGAGGGAAAGGGGGTGAAGGGAGGTAGAAAAGGGTAAAGGGGGGACAAATGGTAATGGAAGGAGACTTGACTTGAGGTGGTGAATACGCAGTACAATATACAGATGATGTATTATACAATTGTACACCTGGAATCTATATAATTTTATTAACCAATGTCATCCCAATAAATTCAGTTTTTAAAAAAGACTAGAAGCTTAGTTACATTAAATTCAGAAAAACTTTTATACTCTTTCTGTACATACTTTAAAAAAATGAATCAGAATAGTCACATTTAGAACACTTTCTTTTATTGGTCAATATTTTTAGATAGGTAGAACCTGATCCTAAGCCTAATGTGGTCTTGATTCTGGAAATTAAATATTTTTAAAACTGCCTTGATGAAAAGACACCTTTTAAAAAATAGACACTCCCTAAGGTCTTTTGTTTGCATGGTCACACATTGATGCTTAGATGTTCCAGTGTCTAATGTGGCTACAGTAGTCTTGGTAACCAAAGTCATTTTTTTCCCTTCATCTTTAGAAACCTACCCAGGAACACCACATCCCAAAGATCTCGAGCTACTGTGTATGAATGAACATTCCCTTTTGTTTCATACCTGAATGCTGTACATCTATTTTGGATTGTGTATTGTGTTTGTGTATTTAAGCATTGATTCACAGTGACTTCTCATCTTATGAAACTGATTAGCATTGAACACAAACTGTAAATAGAAAGAAATGGCTGAAAGAGCAAACAATAAAAATAAAACATCAGAAATTAATGACCTAAATGAAAACAGTTACAGTTACCAGGGTTGAGAAAAACGGCAAAACTGTAAAAAACAAACCAATAAGTAAATAATGGCTGGCATTAATGGACAATGAACAAAATAACTGGTCACAGCCCCAGCCTTCACTAGCTAACGACACAGTCTCCAAGTTATTAGATTTCATTACCAGTGAGTCAAACATTTTTCATAACACTGAATAAGTCATAAAACAATGTTTGTAGAATCGAAAAGTTCAAAGCAAACTCTCACTTACCTTCCCTGTTAGAACTGAGGGAAATTCAGTATCAAACTTGTTGCTCAAGCCAAACCTTAAAAACAAACACAGAACAAAATATATTCTACCCAGCATATTTAACTCTCTCCCATTAAAAAAAATTTACAAAGCCATGCATTTTTCTTTTGATGTTGTGATTTTAAAACATGTCCTAAAAATATTTTTATGATATTTTTAGAAAATAAATCTTTGACTATTAATCCAAATGCACAGTAAAAGAAACTAACTAAATCAATGATATGGGATTAAAAATAATAAATTAGAGAAACACTGATACAGAGCTAGAAATATAATTTTTGACTGAAATGTTTCTGTTAAAACCCATTTTGGTTGATAATTTTGGGGATTGACTGATTAGCTGTATGTGAGAGTGGGTTTTACTATTCTACTTTTTTTATATATATATAAAAATTTCATAATAAAACCTTTGGAACCATAGACTTTGACAACTTATGATCAGTAACTATTCAGAAACTCAAAGGTCAATTCTTATCAATGGCTTTTATGTATATAGTCAACTCATTTTAAGAAAACAGATCCCAGCCTTGAAAACACAAGAAAGAATTCTCATAATGATTCCTTCCTTTCCAGTGCCACTGCTATGTTGGCTCTCGTATTTGCTCATGCGAGTCTTCTCCCTAGTTGTTTAAAAATATGTTTTCATTGATTTTTTAGAGGGAGAGGAAGGGAGAGAGAGATAGAAACATCGATGGGCGAGAGAAACATTAGTCGGCTGCCTCCAGCACGTTCCCTACTGGGGATCAAGCCTGCAACCCGGGCATGTGCCCTGACCAGGAATCAAACCAGGACCTCAGTCCATGGGATGATGTTTAGTCCACTGAGCCACACCAGCCAGATCCTCTCCCTAGTTTAAATCCTATGCAGACTTCAAGGCTCGAGTCAAGTGCTAATGCCTTGAATGCTCAAGCCTTTATGGATTCCCCCTTTCTCTGAACACTCACAGCCACTTTTTTTTTTTATCCTCACCCAAGGACATTTTTCTATTTTTTGTATTTTTTGTTCAGACAGAGCGGGAGGGAGAGAGAGGGAGGGAGAGAGAGAGAGAGAGAGAGAGAGAGAGAGAGAGAGAGGGAAAGAGAAACATTAATGTGAAAGGGACACATTGAGTGGCTGCCACCCGCATGACCAACCAGGGCCTGGGACAAACTGCAACCGAGGTACATGCCTTTAGTGGGAACTGAACCCGGGTCTCTCTGGACCACAGGCCAATGTTCTAAACGCTGAGCCAAACCGGCCAGGGCTCACAGCCACTTCTAATGTGCACTGCACAATTCAACAGTTAATACATTTATTTTTATTCTTTGCTGTTTCACATAAATATCTTAAAGGTAATTTTCCTGTTAGTTTTTTAAAGTAAGGCCTGTACTTTGTTTTTTTGTATTCTTCACCAAGTAGCCCAGTGCTCAAGTTCTCAGGAAATAGTTGCTATATTCACATTACTAATTTTTTACTTTACTATAAAAAGGGATTGGTTTTTCTGAAATATAAAAAGTATATTAGAAATGATAAGGAAAGTATCATTTTAATTCTTAAAATACTCCTTTGTGGCCTATATACATCTACTTCAAAATGATATAAACACAGGCAAACCAGGCCCAATATACTTTCATAATTTTGGCTTAAAGGCAGTAGCAGTCCTGTTCTTGCCTACTGGGGATTTCTTCCTTAACTTTCTCTATTAGAGACTTAGCACTTAAAAAGACTACTTAAATCATCTTAAGCACATATCACTTAGTAGCTATTAAAATTTTTTTGAAATGGCTGCTGCTGAATAAAAACCTCACCTATTTCATAAACAAACCATTAAACTAAGAACTGTGAGTCCACAGAGGTTAGAGAAACTCATCTACCCATTACTGATCAGTGATAGACATTAGCCAAGATGTGGGGTTCTTTAGCATTAGACAAACAGGCACTTGGGAACTGTTCATGCTGTCAGTTTATTGGCTTCATTAAATATACAGCCTACTGCCCAGCTAGTGTGGCTCAGTGCTTGAACATTGACCCATGCACCAAGAGATCAACGGTTCAATTCCCAGCAGGGGGCGTGCAGCAGACAGCTTATCAATGTTGATGTTTCTCCAAGTTTCTTTCTCTCAAATTAATAAAAAACATATTTAAAAAATATAGAGCCTATTACGTGTTTGAGGTGGACTAAACTGGTGGTTCCTAACAATTGTATTTTATTTGTCAAATGTCTTCAATGCTCCAAATTTTAATTTCTTAGACAATTCTTTAGAGTAAAGGAAATTAAGGCAAAGAAGAATGGGTCCTCTTAGATGCTCTTCCTTCTTTTCTCCCTCCCTATACATACCCTCACTGTTTATAATCTTCTGAAAATGACTATATATCAGCCCTTGAAAACCTTGCACAAATTAAAGTTCATGTATTCAGGTTGTTTAAGAAAACAAATCAAAGCATAGTAAAATTCTGCCAACAAAAAACATAATTTAACTAGAAAACTATGCACTTCTAGTAACACTGATTCTAAACTGTGCACTGAACTTTATTTACTCTACCAAGGAAAAGGAAAATCTGTGCCATACGAATTCAAAAAGATTTTCAAAAAAATATTGTTCAATCTCTTTCATCTTTCATATGGAAACAAATCGTGTCTTGCCACACTGTAAAATGTCGAGTGTTACCATAGCTTCAGTATTCTCAAAGCCTAAAATCCTACAAATATTTACCTTATACAAACACAAAATAACAATGCATCACTGTAATTCCTCAAAGACAGCTGTTAACAGAAAAGTCATTCTGTTCACTAATTTGAGAATTATTAATATTTCTAGTGCCCTCTAAGTTTTTGCAGAAATGCACTGGCAAATTTGGCCTTTTTCAATTCTATATGTAATAACTTCAGCTCTTTTAGATTAATTTTAATGAGACAATTTTATAAATACCTGAGAATTGATAACCTATCATCTCTCCTAACTTCTATACAGGTATACTATCAAGGCTAAACATCTACATATTTTAAATACTATAAAGAGTGCGGTAATGTTAACAAATAGGGAAAAAAATATCATGAGATAGAATTTTCCTTGTATTTCAATATATTGGATCCAAATAGTTATCCTAAAAATATCAAGAAGAAAAGTAATAGATACTAAATTATATCTCCCAGATGTAGAATATTTCTGAAACGCTAATACTTCCAAGAAACAATTATTTCTGTTTCTAGAACCTCAAATTGGTGGTAATTTAGCCATATCTTCGTGGAAATTTGGAAAAAGATCACCGAAAGTCCATTTATGATCATCACCACATAATTGGAATTACAATTAGTGTGTTTAGGTCATTGTACTTCTTAAGAAATTATAATTAATTGCATATTAAAAGATTAATATCTTGTTAAAGTAACTAGAAAGTCAATATATTAGGAATATACAAGTAGACAGGCATTCTGACATAGAAGGGCTTGCTTAACAAAGCTTTCAGAGGTAAAACCATTCCATAGCCCCCTCATCACTGGTAATATTATTATATCCATATATACCTCTGCTCAGAAACACAAATATTCTCTAAAGCATGATTCAACTATTATTTGTTGAAGGCCTATGATATAGTATGCACTATGGTGTTACTAAAGTGAACCAATATTCATTCAACTCAGTTTTATTGAGTGCATACTCTAGGGCAGACAATGAGAATTCTGGGAGAACCATAAATTGTTCCTGCCTTTGCAGCTTACAACTTAGTCGGGGTAGAGAAGACTTGCAGGAGTTGGTGACATATGGAGGGCTGGGGTGAAGGCAGTGTGTACTAGATTACTATATGATGGCCCCATCTTAGAGGCAACGAGATAAGAAACAGCATGCTATGAACCGGAAAATATAAGCAATAAGGGGAAATGTCAGGAGATTAGGCTGATATATCGGCAGGGTCCAGTTGTATATGCCATGTTATGAAGCTTAGATTCTATGCTGCAGGTAAAAGGAAAACAACAGGTTTAAGCAGGAAAGTGGTGTCTTAATCTACCAGCAGTCTGAGGATAGCTGTGAAGATGACAAACATGAAGGCAAGATGACTAGTTAGTGTGATGAAAGAGCCCTGAATCAGGGAAGTGGTGATAGGGAGGAGAATAATACAAGTTTGGGTCATATATTGTTAATATGTGCTGACTGCTTAGCTGTGAAAATTGTGAGTGGGAAAGAAGAGCCAAGGATGAATAACAAGATCAGTAGAGGTACATTCAACTGAGATGGAAAATACAGAAATAGATGGATTTTTTTGAGGGGTTGGGATAAGGGTGTGAGGGTGTGTGTGTGGGGGGGTGGAGAATGAGTTCTATATTCCTTATGTTGAATTTAAGATAACAGAGGGCCATAAGGTGAGGAAAACGAAATAAGAGTCTGAGCAGGGTCTGGTACAGAGTTACATATTTGGGAGACATCAGATAATTGAAACTGTGACAGTCAAGATGAGATCATCTAGGGAGAGCAAAGAGTGAGAAAAATAGTAGGCTGAGAACAAAACCCTGGGGATCACTGGTAGTCAAGGGTCAAGAGAGCAAGAGCCAGTTGGTGTGGCTCACTGGTTGAATGTCGACCCATGCACCAAGAGGTCGCCGGTTTGATTCCCAGTCAGGACACATGCCCAGGCTGTGGGCCAGATCCCCAGTGGGAGGCATGCAGGAGGCAGCTGATGGATATTTCTCTCTCATCGATGTTTCTATTTCCCTCTCCCTTCCTCTCTCTCTCAAATCAATTAAGAAATAAATTTTTAAAAAAAGAGAGGAAGAGAAGCTCATGAATGAGACAGTTAAGATACAGCTAGAAAAACACAAGGAGAACAAGGACAGTGAAATGGCCAAGGAATTTCTGGATTTATTTGGCTGGATAATGATTTTTTAAATCAGAATTTAAATACCTTTAAGCAAAACATATACTTTCCAGTTCAAGTAAAGCCCCATCATTACTCATGCTGAATTATTTTCTGTGACCTACCTTGCCTTTGAAGGCCTGTGCGTTTGTGACCTCCAGAGTAGAAGCCTCCAAGAAAGAGGGAGTCATTATAAATATGTTATGTGCAGCCATGAGGATCAGAAAGATAAGGAATAAAGGATGCCCACTAATTTAGCAACAACAGGGTCATGGTGATTTTAAGGTCAGTTTACCTGTGGTCATGGTGGCACAATCCGGATTACTGAGGGGGTGAAGAGAAAATAAATATGGTGACTGTAGCTACTCTTAAAAAACTTGGAGGAGGAAGGAAGACAGACTAGACAGTAGCTAGAGGGGAATGTAGGTCCAGGAAGGCTTTAATTTTATTTTGTTTTTAGAGGATTATACTCTTAATATGTTTACAAGACGAGCCAATAGAGATGCAGAGAGGGGTAATATGAGGTAGACTGGGGTTGCCCGATGGAGCATGATCTGAGAGGAGGCTGCATGAGAAGGGTTTGGAAGGCACAAGTAGAGGGATGATCTTTGGGAAGTGGAGAGACTCCTTGACCTCAGAGGTTGGAGGAAGAGAGCACAGGAATTCAGACCTAATTAAGATCCAATGCAGGTTTTTCAGCAGGAAAGTGACATAATTAAACTGTGTTTTAAGAAAATTAGTTTGGCACAAGCACGCAGGATAGATTGAAGTGGGGAGAGGTGGCTGTCTGTGGCAATAATTCAAGCAGGAGATAATGGCAACCCAAACTAGAGTGGTGCCAATAAAAACAAAGTTTTAAAAATCTAATAGACATTTCAAAATGCATGATGATATACTTCTGGAACAGACTGGCATAAGACAATTCAAAGAGAAGGAAGAGGTAAAATGAATTAAGGATTGGAAATATTACTCTGGAAAATTAGAATGGTGGTATCAGGGTCAGAAATGGGGCCACTGGAATGCACAGCCAATATGGGAAGAGATAATGCTGGGTTTACAATATACTGAGTTTCTGGTGATGGTTCTCAAAGTTTAAACTTTGAAAAGAAAAGAAATCTATAGAATAGATGACTGCACAGAGAATGGGAAAAAAAAAGAGGTGGGAGCGAATAAGAAATATTTCATTTAGATAGAGCAACTCAAACACTCTTATGCCAGAAAAAAAAATTAAACAGAAGCTGATATTTTCGATGTCTCATAATTAGATGAACTATTTCCTAAGGATGTTGCTTTACCTGATATAAGGAAAGTTTTCCTACCATTGACAGACCAGTGTCTCAGATCAAGTAAAACTTTCTCTTAAACATTGAATATTTTTTCAAAGCTCAGACATTTGACATCAAATGATGAGAGAATGTGTTCCATATAAAGTAATTTTCCAAACTATATGCATTGGTTAGCAATTCAATTAGTGGTTTGTTGCTTTTCAGGTTTTGGCTTTAATGAATACCAACATTTTCACTATTTCACAGTCCTAATTCAGACTCTTTAAGGTGGGAGGGGTATTATACCGATGACAAGGACTGGCGCAAGGCAAATGTCAGTGCTTTTCTTTTAATTACAAATAGGTTTGTAAATAATTCACCATGATTGTGTGAAGAGTAGAATGGAACCACAAATAAGTTTCAAGAAACTTAAATTCTGTTTTCTTGCTCCTTGTCTGTTTTGTGAATTTCAGAAAATAATGAGGGGGAGGGTTGCTGGGACATAAAATATAGTCTGGAATAAAACCCCCTTTTCTGTTCTGTCATGTTAAATAACCTGCATGAAAGTAACTTCTTTATGCCAAAATCATAATTAGTTTGGGTAAAAACATGTCTCCCTAGTGATTAAAGGGATGGAAGTAAAACAGTGCAGAAAGGTGGCATCTGGTCATTGTAGTCTATCGATAACATTCTTTGAAAAAGAAATGCTGTTAAAACTGCGTAACCAAAAAGCAGGTCTAAAAATCTCCCCAAACTTATCCTGTATTTAAAAATCTTTTTTAATACATTTCATGGAAAGATCACAAAAGTATATTACAAAGAAAATACTGAACATGTTAAAATAAAAACCTAACATGATGGCCCTGGCCAATGTGCCTCAGTTGGTTGGAGCACCGTCCTGTGCACTGAAGGTTCAGGGGTTTGATTGCTGGTCCGGGTACATGCCTGGGTTGCAAGTTCTATCCCTGGTTGGGGCATGTGCGAGAGGCATCCGATCGATGTTTCTCTTACATCTATGTTCATCTGTTTGTCTCTTTCTCCAAACAGTAAAGTATATCCTCAAGTGAGGATTTAAAAAAAAAAAAAAAAGCTAACAGCCCGGCCGGTGTGGCTCAGTGGATTGAACATCCTCTCATGGACTGAGAGGTCCCAGTTTGATTCCTCGTCAGGGTCCATGCCTGGTTTTCAGGATCGATCTCCAGTGGGGGATGTGCAGGAGGTAGCCAACCTATGTATTTCTCTCACATTGATGTTTCTCTCTAAAAGATCAATAAAAACATATTTGAAAAAAGCTAACATAATGGGGGGAGGTGGTGCATATTATACTATTTCAGATAATATAAACTCATTTGAAAATCAAAGGGGTTAAGGGAGTCATTATCAAAATTAGAGGGAGTATGCGTCGATAGTAAACAAAAAAGTTCAGTTATGAAAATGCAATAAAAAATAGCATAGTTAAGAGGATGAACATAACATATTACTCAGAATTTCAAGTATTGCCCAGCTGGTGTGGCTCAGTGGTTGAGCATTGACCCATGCCCCAGAGGTCGCCAGTTCCATTCCTGGTCAGGGCACAAGCCCATATTGTGGGCCAAATCCCCAGTGGGGGGCATGTAGAAGGCGGCAAATTGATGTTCTTTCTCACTGATGTTTCTATCTCTCTCTCCCTCTCCCTTCCTCTCTCTCTAAACCTCTCTCAATAAAGAAAAAAAAAATCAAGTATTTACAGCCCAAGCACATAAAAATGAGAATGCAGTCTTCAAAGCCCAGAGAACCACTATAATTTTCTTTTGTTTTGCAAGTCCTCTGCTATGAGATCCCCCCATTTTATTTTCTCAAATATTATCCAAAATTTCAATTAAAAAAACTCACTGTGTATAAGTTTTCAAGAAATCATCCATGGCTTTTGGGGGACTAATTTCCATATACATTTAATGTTTGTATATCTAATATTCAGGCATACAAAATCTCCTGCAAATATGTTAAATTATGTCAGAGGTAAAGGTGTTTAGAAACCATCTATCTAAAACCTGTGATTTTACAGATGGAGAAGTAAAAGCACAAAAATGGTTAGTAACCTAACCAAGGTCACAAGCCTAGAAAGAAGCAAAGCTGAGATTAACAACCAAGGCTCATCACTTTCAATCCATTACTTTTTCTACTTTTCATAGCTACCTTTCAACCTGAACCTCCAATTGTGTCATATTTAGGGAAAGTCAGAGTGAGGGTGATCAAGACATGGAAAAGGATAAATGTATTCATTCATCTAGGGTTGGATAGGAAGAATGGATAGATGATTATGCAGGTGGGTGGGAACTCTATAATATTATTCACAAACTACATCATATTTCTGTTTTGAAGAAACCCAAGAGAGGTCTTGTCAAATGTCACAGCAGTCACCGTATTCCACCAGACACCGATCTTAGCAAACAATCTTGTGATGTACATCCTGCAGTTGAAAGAGTAGTCACTTGCAGCATACACACAGAAGCAAGGACACTCACCCTTACTCAAATCCTTCTGACTCCCAAACCCTTCATGTCCCTGTCCTTTGCTCACTGTTTACCTGGCGTTGGTGCATCACGTTTGCATTCGCACTTCCTCTACACCTCCCTCCCTCGATTTCTCCATTTACATCAGGTGTCGTTTCTTCGCTGTCTGCTTCAGTGAGCCCTCCCCCCACTTCACCTGCCCCTTGACCACTATGTCATCTCTCTGTCACCAAGTCTCAGGCTTTAACAACCCCGTCACCCCCTGTCGCTTACACGGTGATGTGTCCGGCGCCCCTCACCAGGACAGGGTCGGGGGCATATCGCCGCAGATGCTCCTCGCTCACCACCCGAGGCGGTGGCGGCGTCTCCTCCTCCTGCTCCTTTTCTTCCTCTTGCTCTTCTTCTTCTTGCTCTTGTTCTTCTTCTTCCTCCTCCTCCTCCTCCTCCTCTTCCTCCTCCAAATCTTCCTCGTCATCGTCGGGCCCCGAGACCGACGACGACGACGACGGCGACGACGACGTTGCCGCTTCTTCCTCCTCCTCCAGTTCCGAGATAGTGTCGAACTCCGCCATGTTGGGCAGCAGGATGCTCATCACGTGACCCCCCGGTCGCCGCCACCCTCACGCAGAGCGGTTGGAACCCGCCGAGATGCTGGAAGAGCAGGGGAACGAAATGCAGAGCCGGAGTACCGTGGGGACAGGGTTTCGGGAGGTGCGCCTGCGTGCTGGGGCGGCCGGGATGGGGGTTTGGAGGCGGGGGCACGACGGACACCGAGCCAAGCGGTCTACGCTTGCGCAGCTCGGAGCGAAGAGGGGCGTTGGAGGTGGACTCCGCGGAATCGCGGGGGTCCGCCGTGCGGGTGCTGATTGTAACACTGCCTTTCGGTCTTCTGCTGCCTGTGTGCCGGGGACTCATCTTCTGGTTTCACTTCCCATTAATTCATAGTGACTATGATGACCCACTCCCACCACCCTACGGTGGGAAAAGCATATTCTACAAAAGTGAGGTTCGAGCTGTACCCCAAATGTCTCAAGGTAGATACCAGTTCGTTATGTTTGTTCCCCATGGCAGTTTAAAACATTTTCCCATCAAAACTTTGCCACACTCTACAAGGCATTTTATTCACACTTTACCAAACAAGAAACTTTCTATCACTACTTGTATTCCTACTGTGTCATACAGGGAACTTTCTAAGCTACACACTCAAATGTCCATATCTCATTTAATATTTCATAGGCTTAGGAAATATGTACCATAATTATCTCATTTACAGATGGAAAACCTAGATGCAGAGAGCATAAGTAACTTTCCCAAGGTCGTGGATGTACTAAATGGCAGTTCCAATTGTAAATTTAGGGGTCTCTTCTAATTTCAGAAGCCCAGCGCTATTCACCACAGCACTGAAATTGTTCTGATAGGCTTTGCAGAGTAGTGCTTCTTGGACTGCTTCTTCAAAGGTGTTTGAATTTTGAAGCTTTTTTGCAGAGGTGGTTGAGGGAAATGTGGAAATGCAAGGAGCAGTCCAGTTTAAGGAAACATTAATTAATGTCATCCATTTTCCAGAGACTGAGATACACTCTTTCACATACAGTATCTCAGTTAATCCTTAATCAGTCCCATCAGGTAAGCATCATTGTATCTATTTTATACTTGGCCCCACAGAGTCTCAGGAAGCTTAAGTAATTCATTAAGGGCTGTAGTTACCTTTTGTCCAAAATTTTTATTTCAAATATTCTATCTTCACACCCACTAAAATGGTGTACAGATCACATATTTTCAGTTTCCAATCCATGTCTCAAACTGTTTCATACTTCCATGTCATAAATCATGGATTTTTAAGACAGTGAAGTCACATACCTGCTAAGTAATAAAAAATTCTATAATTCAAGTACTCAATATTAACTTCACTGCTCTGTCTGCTACACCACAGTCGTATCCCAATTAGATGGTGAGACTGGAAAAACAGACATAGCCACGCAGGAAAGCAGCATAAAACAAAGTCCTTATGATGTACGAAGCAGGAAAAAATGAGTTTTATAAAAGGCATTGATCAAACCATTATCATTACTGAAGAGTTTGTGTTATTAAAATGAAAAAAAAAAAAGTTGTATTGCACCCAAAAGCTTGATTATTTAACAACTTTAAAACTAAGATGTCGCTCTGGCCGATTTGGTTCAGCGGTTAGAGCGTTGGCCTGCTGTCTAGAGAGACCCAGATTCCTTCCTGCTAAGGGCACATACCCTGGTTGCAGTTTTTCCCTGGCCCTGGTTGGGTCATCACTCGATGTGTCCCTTTCACTTCGACATTTCTCTCTCTCTCTCCCTCCCACTCTATCTGAACAAAAAATGGAAAAATGTCCTCTGGTGAGGATAAAAACAAATTAATAAATAAATTGTAAGCTCAGCCAATGTAGCTCAATTGGTTGGATGCTGTCCTGTGCATGGAAGGGTTGCCAGTTCAATTCCCAGTCAGGGCATATTCCTAGGTTACATGTTTGAGCCCCATTAAGGGTGCATGTGGAAAGCAGCCAATCAGTGTTTCTCTTTCACATCATGTTTCTCTCTCTCTCTCAAAATCAACAAATATATATTTTTAAAATAGTTGTAACATTTTATTAATGCCGCCCCCAAAAATTCAATAAAAAATTGCTGTTTACCCTCCAGGAAAAAAAATAAATTGTAGTAGCATTATCAATAAACAACAAAATTTACTTTTTTTTAAAATAGTATAGAGAATTTTATCTACTAGCTACAAATTATAATTAAACATGGAACCATAAAATATTTTATAACATTCTTCTGGCAAGACATACATGATATAGCTGCCTTTCTTGTGTATTAATAAATAATATGTCCTATTTCATTTATGGAACTGACATACTTTAGACTTAAAATCAAATTAATATTCTGCACCAGTTCTTTTCTTTCAAAAAACAAAAAACGCCATAAGCGATACTATAATTTTAAAAAAATAATTTATGGATAATCTTATATTATCCATAAAGTCCCACTAAGTTAAGGTCTAGAGTGAACTATTTTCCTGGTTACTACTTAAATGATAGTTTCTCTTTTTCATCACTCAGGATTATGCTAGGAGGAGATACTTGAAGGAAAGAAAGGAAGAATATAAGTGAAGAAATGATGGCTGTGGGGGCTAGGAAGGAAAGACAAAGAGGAGGAAATTCGACTGTGAAAATGGAGAGGCTTGTGACATTTAGCCAAATGTCAAAAGGACAAAGCAGTTCAGAAGGGTACTCTGCTTGAAGAAACTAGTATAGGCAAATCTGCTCATCTGTTTGCCTGTGTAGACTGTGCTGAAAAGGCATATATGATTCTTTTTTTTAAAATCCTCACCCAAGGATTTTTTTACATGTACCTTCAACAGAGTGTGAGGGGGAGAAAGAGAGAGAGAGAGAGAAACATCACTGTGAGAGAGACACATCGATTGGTTACCTCCCACACGATCCTTGGGGCTGGGGACAAACCATAACCGAGGTACGTGCCTTTGGCTGGAATCGAACCCAGGACTCTCTGGTCCACAGGCCGACACTCTAACTGCTGAGCCAAACCGGCCAGGGCAAGGCATATATGATTCTAAAGGTAATTTGTTTTGCTGAACTGTAGGAGAACTTGGAATTGGGCGGGATGAGAAAAATACATTTTGCTAGTAAACACAAGAAATATAACATGATTTTAAAATGGTAATTTAGCAACCTTCAAGAATAGTAAAACTAGGGGTGGATGTAAAATAAAGTAGGCTGTATAAACTTCTGCCTGACACGCTGAGGGGGGTGGGTAATTCTTTCCATCTGATGCATAGGGACCTGAGACAAGAGGCCACAGGTTTAACTATCTGCGGGCATTTCAATTTGAAAATAACTGAAAGAAAGTATAACATTTCTTTTCAATGTTCATAAATAAAATTTTATTGGAACATAGCTACACCCATTTATGTATTGTCTGTGGCTATTTTCGCATTACAACAACAGAGCTGAATAGTTGTCACACAAATCATATTACCCACAAAAACGAAAATATTTACAATCTGACCCTTTATAGGAAGAAAAGAAAAAAAAAAAAGCCAAACCCTACACTAGGCAGGTTCCTAGTTAAATTTCTCTCCTGTCCTTACCAACAATTTTATCAGTTGGTCCTGCCTTCAAGGGGTCTTTATGAATAAAATGTCCAGTGGTACAGTTTGCCACAAGTGCTCAGTTAATGACATGAGGGTTTTGCTTTGATGAATATCAGGGTGCATATATTCTCCTGAATTGGTGTTTCAAGATTCTTATGATATATTCCCGTAAGTGGGATCAGTGGATCAAAAGAGAGTTCGATTTTTAATTTTTTGAGGAAACTCCACACTGTTTTCCATAGTGGCTGCACCAGTCTGCATTCCCACCAGCAGTGTGCTAGAGTCCCCTTTTCTCCACAAACAATTCAATAAAAAAATGGAGCGAGGACCTTAGTAGCTGCTTCTCCAAAGTGGACATACTGATGGCCAATAGACATATGAAAAGACGCTCAATGTCACTAATTGTCAAAGAAATGTTAATCAAAACTGCAATGAGAGCCCTGGCCGGTTTGGCTCAGCGGCAGAGCATTGGCCGGGGGACTAATGAGTCGCAGGTTTGATTCTGGCCAAGGGCATGTACCTGGGTTGCAGTTTGTCCCCAGCGCTGGTCAGGGTCGTGCAGGAGGCAACCAGTCCATGTGTCTCTCTCACATGCATTTTTCTCTCTCTCTCCCTCCCACTCTATCTGAAGATAAAGAGAAAAATATCCTCGGGCAAGGATTAAAAAAACAAACAAACTGCAATGAGATATCACCTCAGATATGGTGATAGCTGTCAGAATGTCTTTATAAGTGTCTTAATAAATCAACAAACAACAAGTTTTGGAGAGGATATGGAGGAAAGGGAAACCTCGTTCACTGTTGCTGGCACTACATATTGGTACAGCCCTTATGGAAAACAGTATGAAGGTTTCTCAAAAAAGACCCAGCAATTCCACTTCTGAGTATATATTTGAAGAAACCCAAAACACGAATTCAAAAGGATATATGCAGCTTTATGTTTATTGCAGCATTATTTCCAGTAGCCAATATATCAAAGCAACCCAAGGACCCATCAATAAATGAGTGAATAAAAAAGTGGTGCTACAGCCCAGCCGGTGTGGCTCAGTGGTTGAACGTCAACTCATGCACCAAGAGGTTACTGGTTCAATTCCTGGTCAGGGCACATGACTGGATTTCAGGCTCAATCCCCAGCAGGGGGCATGCAGGAGACAGCTGATGGGTGTTGATGTTTCTCTCTCTCTCCCTATCCCTTCCTTTCTCTCTAAAAATCAATAAAAACATATATTTAAAAGGTGGTGGTACATATATACAATGGAGTGTTACTCAGCTATAAAAGAGAGGAATTCTACCATTTGTGACAACAGGAATGGACCAAACAGTATTATACTACGGGGAATAAATCAGACAGAGAAAGACAAATACCATATGATTTCACTTATATGTGGAAACTAAAGAGCAAATAAACAAACAAAGTAGAAAAAAACTCACAAATACATCCATGAGACTGATGGTTGCCTGAGGCAGGATATTGGGGGGCTGAGTGAAGGGATTTGAAAGTCCAAATTGGTAGTCACCAAATAGTCATGACGATGTAAGGTATAGCATAAGCAATATATTTTTTAAGTGACTATAACTTGTTTTTTTCTTTATTGATTTTGCAGAGAGAGGAAAGGAGAGGGAGAGAGAGAAAAACATTGATGAGAGAGAACATAGATTGGCTGCCTCTGGTATGCCCCCCACTGTGGATCGGACTCACAACCTGGGCATGTGCCCTGACCAAGAATTGAACCGGAAACCTCTTAATGCATAGGTTGATGCTCTACTGCTGAGCTACACTGCCCGGGTGCATAGGCAATATTTCAATAACTATGTACGGTGCCAGGTGGGTACTTGAAATATTGGTGGACTCTTTTATAAAGTACGTGATTGTCTAACTGTTAGGCAGGATAGATAGCTGCTAGGGGAGGAAGAGGGGAAAGGGAGGATTAAAAAGGGGAGTTTATTCCATCCTCTGAACAAAAAAATCAGTAGCCCTGGCCGGTTTGGCTCAGCAGTTAGAGCGTCGGCCTGCGGTCCAAAGAGACCCGGGTTCCGTTCCCGCTAAGGGCACATACCTGGTTGGGTCGTGTGGATGGTGACCTCTCGATGTGTCCCTTTCACGTCAATGTTTCTCTGTCTCTCTCTCCCTCCCACTCTATCTGAACAAAATATCGAAAAATGTCCTCGGGTGAGGATAAACAACAACAAAAAATCAATAGTCTTGGGACTTGCCAAGGTAAAAATCACTCGATGTTCTCATAAATTCTGGGAAAAGACACACCAGTGTAAAAATGAAACTCTGAAATCTAGTCTTTTGCCCAATATGTCCACCAGGGATCCTTGAAACATATAGGGGAAAAAAGATAAAACCCTTCAACCCTCACCAGACTAGCTGAGTTGCCAGTTTGTGCTTCATGACAAGTGTATTCTCTCTTTTTTGTTGTTGTTAATCCCATCCAAGGATATTTTTTCCATTGATTTTTAGACAGAGTGGAAGGGGAAGGGGGGGGGGAGAGAAACATTGATGTGAGAGAGACACATTGATTGGTTACCTCCTGTAGGACTCCATCTGGCACCAGGATCGAACATGCAACCCAAATACGTGCCCTTGACCAGTAATCAAAACGCTGACCCTTTGGTCTGCCGGCCAATGCTCTAACCGCTGAGCAAAACTGACCAGGGCCCAAGTGTATTCTTAATAAATTTGCTTGCTTTGCTTCAACACTGCTTTCTGTCACTCATTTGAATTCTTTCTCATGAGTGTGACAAGAGCTGAGGAAGGGAGAGCCCCGTTTGACTCAGGCAGCTCTCCAGTAACATCTTTCTGGTTCCATGACTTGGACTGCTGAATTGCCTGCTTTCAGTTTGATGGTGACACAGGAAGATAGTACGTTTTGTTCCCAGGCAGGGAGCCCTTTATTCCATGTGTGTTAGTTTTCTCGGGGGAAAAAGGGGCAACAGTGGCACAAGGAATCAGGCATTTGGAATAAGATTATGTCAACAGACTTGAAGGGGAAAGATGAGGACCTAGGCTCATGTAGGGTCTGAAGAAAAGGGGCAATTCCTTCATCAGGTTTGAGTCTCGAATGTCCTTGCAGAGGTGTCTGGGGTTGAACCCTAAGACACGCAGGAGCCTAATAGGGACTTTAATTTCATTTGTAATTAACTGTCTGGTTCATTTGGGAACGTGCACATAAGGGTTGGTCACCTAGTGCCAATGATCCCACTTCTGGGACTGTATTCTAAGAATCCAAAACACCAATGAGAAAGAATATATGCACCTCTTTGTTCCTAGCAGTGCTATTTACAACAGCCAAGATCTAGAAACAGCCCAAGTGCCCATTAGTAGATGAGTGGATAAAAAGCAGCGGTACCGATTCACAACACTAGTCCTGAAAGCACACAGTACGGTAAGTGTTTGCTTTGCATTGACATTCATACTTGAAGACTCAATGCTGTCATACTTTTGCCTTCCTCTACCCTCCAAACCTATCCCTGTGTTATGAGAGACTAATTGATTATCCGTTATAGGTGTCTCTCCTCAGTAGCACATTCAGACATGAATATATAAGGAAGTGATCCCCACCTGGGGGGCTGAACCTAAGTTATCCATAGACTAAATCCTCTAGTCAGTTTTTCCCTTCTGTATTGTTATCAGAGTTGCAACTACTCTGCTGAATTTGTTTATAGCTTTCTTTTTTTAAAAAATATTTTCTTTATTGATTTTAGAGAGAGAGGAAGGGAGAGATAGAAACATCGATGAGAGCGAACACTGATTGGTTGCCTCCTGCATGCCCCCCACTGGGGATCAGGCCCACAACCTCAGGCATGTGCCCTGATCAGGACTCGAACTGGCGACCTCTTGGTGCAACCACTGAGCCACACCTGCTGGGCTGTTGATAGCTTTCTTAAGGCATAATTGATGTACAAAAAACTGCACATATTTAAAGTATAAAAGTTGATTTTTGACATATGTATACTCATGAAACCATCACCAGCAAGGGGGGAGGGTGGCAGAGACTGGCCTGTATCGTTCTAGTCTGATTTCATTGTTTTGGCAAGATTTGAAATTAACACTGAGGTTAGAAGTTCTGAGATAATTGAGGCCAGACAAGTATGGTTGAGAGACGAAAATTGGTCTTTATATTTATTGTTTTTATTAACCAGTGACAATGGATTCAGAATCACCTCCTGCTGATTTTTTAAAGCATTTGTCTTATGAAAATGCTCTTAGCCAAAGATAAATACATTTCTGCTTACCTTTTCCCTCCCTCCAAATGTAGCATAATAGAATATACCCAGCATCAAACATCAAGCACACAGGTGTCTGACATTTGTTTAGGGAAAGTTTCTGAAATTGTGAATAGATTTGCAAAGGCTTGTGATTGTAGTTTTTAATCATATAGCTTACTAGCAAACTTCCCAAGTGACTGACACTTGGCATAGCACATAAGAGTTTTCTGGGGATGGTTTCTAACAGTAAATCACCCTTGAATGATCTTTAATCCATTTTGCATTCACTCCTTCTGCATACTGCTTTACAAGGGATTACATCCTGTCCCAAATTCCCTGCTGGTATCTTAGATAACAAAAAGACAATGCTACAGGAAGGACACTTTACATTTTTCTTTGCCTTTCTTTCATTCAGAGACCTGCTGTATCTCAATAGGCTGAAATCCACAGACAGCAGATGCAGTGGTGAAAAAAGCGTTAGATAGTTCCCCAGGGCTGATAGAGCCAGAGTCACTTTGCACGGAGCCTCCACTGTTCTCAAATTGCAAGATTTTCTTTTTTATCATCTTTCTCTCCTTGGCTCTGCGATTCTGAAACCAGATTTTCACCTGAAACACAAAATACGTTGGATTTAATGGGGCAGCATACTGAATGCAGTTTTCAGTCATTGCTGATGTTGTACAAGGACTTTAACATTTACAAAGCCCTTTCACATACATCACTTCACAGTTATCCTCACAGTTACCTTATGAAATATGCCCATTTAACAGGTTAAACAAGTTGAGACTCAGAGAGGGGAAGTATCTTGCATGAGCTGAAACTGAGATTGAGTCCAGGGCTATTTAATCTGAATACAGTGTCACTTACCACCTCAGTTGTATAGGTAGAAAAAAATGATGATAGAATGGCAGATACTGAGGTTTGGTTATAAAAGGGGAGGGATTTAAATAGCAAAGATGACTATGGTCTGTAATTAGAGAAACTTTTTAATAATAAGGTTAAGGAACCACAGAACCTGGGTAAACAAAGGTAACAAAATACTTTTTCTCTTGCTGTGAAACCAATGTGCCTTCATACATGGTTGAAATATAAGCTGCTTGGGATAAGACAATACATTAATGGACTTAAAAATTCTAGAATTCTGATTCCAGTATTACTTCTAGACTTAAGTGGAAAGACATCAGGTAGTTATATAATGTTAAATCCAGTGAACAGAAACCATTGATCCTTGCCTGACTTAATCTTCAGTAAGTACCCATAATAAGCCAAATTTGAGACAGGCATCAAGAGATTATATAGACCATAGAAAATTAAATTTCCCACCCTGAATAATAGAAAAAATTGGTTCAGATAGCAGTATTGGTGTTTAGTTACTGTTGCAATTTGACCAATATGAACCAGATAATTGCCGTGATTGCCAAATGTCCACTTCACACATTGGTTGTGACTACTTGGGGAACCAGATCAAGGTTTTCAGTTGACTATGGAAGTTTTACTTCTTCTCCGCCTCCTACATCCCCACTCTTTGCTTCCGTATCTGCAAAGTACCAACCACATTCAATTATTCATAAAACCACTGACCAATGAAACTAAACTAAGAGGTCCAGTAGGATGAATGTGGGCTTTAGCAGAACTTGCAGAATACCTTTGTCTTTTATGCCACTTCCATTCCTGCTTACAGATTCCCCTAAATTCTCAACCTATTGAAATAACTATATGAGACATGTTGGATATACTTCTGGTGTACCTGTCTTTCAGAAAGGCCCAGGTTCATTGCCAGCTCTGATTTCCTCCGAAGAGTAATGTATCTATTGCAGTGGAATTCCTTCTCCAGCTCCAACCTTTGATGATCTGTGTAAACCACACGATACTTTTCTTTTGTTCTGGTTTTCCCTGTTTGGGGAGAAAGCAGTGCATTTAATCATATTTTTACTTCTTTGGAGATTGTTTTGTGTGAAGGAATCACAGCCATTGTTTCCACCCTCGTCTGTTACTTTCACATTTAAACCAAGTACATGTTTTTAGCCAAACAGGTCATCAGTCCATCTCTCCATTAAATACGTTGTCATCTATAGCTATTACACACACACACACACACACACACACACACACACACACATTCAACACACCTATCATACAACCATTGACCTGTAGCTACACCAAAGCATTGTAAAGCAAACACTTAACCTAAGGTTTAGTGTAGGTAAGTGACTTTGTGCTAGTGAGCTGAGCAATGGGGACCCAAACGCTTATTTTTGACTGCCAGTCTAGTGTGCTAAATGTTATTCCCAGTTTAAACATGCTGGAAGACATAAGAATGTCCCAAGTGTGGCAAATTACTCTGTGATCCTGACATTATTAGTTAAATACATTGTAATTACACATGCATTCTAGATAGAATTTCTTTAAATAGCAATTAAAGCAGCATTTATTGTCACTTACATTTTGTTCTAGGATAGCCCCTGTTACCTATTAGAAAAAATTTTAGTATTTTTTATGTGGGCGTCTTAAACCAATTTTTTATTTCCAAGTGGATAAGGAATGAGTTAAAGAGGGGGTACTGACTTAAGCAGAATAAAATGAGTATTCCAGTATTGTTTGGAAGGATATATAAACATTTTCTTTGTGTTACATTTTATATACTTTCTCATGCCCTTCTTAAAATAGAGTTGTATTCCTCCTTTCAAATTTTCCAAAGGTAATTGGGAAGTTTTGCTTTTTTCCCCATTTTTCTACCCCTCTCCTGAATCTTCCTCCTTTTCTCTATGGCTTTTAGCAAACTCCTTCTGATCTTCTCTGGTTGTTTTTGATCTGAAGTTTTGGGGAGCAATCTGTAGGACAAAGGTTTCTTTTAAGTGGTTCCCTAACTCCATTGAGGTGTTAAGATGCAGCACAGGCCTAACAAAGGAGCTACATAGACATAGCATCAAATCCCACGTTGAACCCTATTTACATTTAGGAACACCAGCCAATTGGCTTGGGATTTACAAGCCCTAAACAAATGTCAGACACTCTTTCATGTCCAGAAAAGAAAAAAAAGGGGATATTAATGTAGAAACAAACTCTAGATGAGAGAGATGTTTTCGGATTAAACTAAATGGCTGAATAACTCATGAAGTAATGAACTAAACAAAATGTTTTCCCCGGAAACTGGAAAATGATGAACCCCAGTCAGTTAACCTACCCCAAAGGCTCAAACTTTGAGCTGGTTTTTAAAATCCAAACAGAAACCCAGGAAACCAGAGGTCTGGCCTTTGGTATGTTACAAAGGCAGAATGTATAGTTGTGGTCACAATGAAAACTTTGAGGCTTAATTTATTTCCTAAGTCTCAAATTGGAGGATCTAAATACATCTTGGAAGAGATGTTTCCTAAAACCCTTCCTTACCCCAAAGTGGCTGAATGTTTAAATTCAAACTGGAGGCAGAAGTTAGAATTCAACTTGTGTGTGTCTGTGTTTTTTGCTCTGTGATAATCAGTAAATATAACCAGACTTCAAGAACTCTGGAAAGTTGCAGTCCTTCCCCACCCCCATTGGTCATAAATTCCCCTCTTGCAGTTTCTCCTGAGGACAATAAAATCAAGATCAGGCCTCTTTATTTGCCATGAAAATCCTCACCCTTTCCGGCAATATAACCCCTGAAAACAGGAGGGACGAGGAAGAGCCCGGCTGCATATCAAAGCCGTGGGAAGTGTTAAAAGGGGTCTGTTGCCCTAATCTGACAGATAAGACCTCAAACCTCAAGAAGATGGAGCTCAGGGGGAAATACTGACTGCAAAGTTTACAAAGAGAAACAAATGACCATTTCCCAATCCTGTTCTTGTGTCTTTCCCTGTGAACTTTCTCCTCTCCTCCTCCTCATCGCCTCTACCCCTTAAATGGTGAAATCAAATTAAATGGCATTTGGAAATTTTCCAGTAGAGCATAATGTCCATATTCACATACACTTACTAAAGTATGTATACTAAGTAAGTGTACATATACTTAGTACTAAGAGTACTAGCTTTTATGGTTAAGCTATTCTGTTCTCCCAGATGCTACCTATTTTTGAAGGTGAGGGAACCCCCTTCTCTGGCACTATTGTGAGTTAATTTAGGAAAGTAACAAACTGAAGATGTATTAAAGGGCTGCTTCTAGCGCTCTGTAGTGGGGATTTCATTGCCTCTCCCACACTCTAAGGACTTCATTACCCATGATACAGTATCCCCACAGAGTTCGCAAGCATTCATCCCATATGGTGACTTATTATCATCCTAAATATGCTCATTTCAGAGACTGGATGTGAACTGTTAGTCAGAAAAACACTTTCCATACCTAGGGGTTATGATGATGATGACAATAAGGGTAAAGATGGATCAAACCAATTTCTTCTTCTTTTTTTTTGTTCAGGTAGAGTGGGAGGGGGAGAGAGGAAGAGAGAGAAAACATCGATGTGAAAGGGACACATCGAGTGGCTGCCACCTGCACAATCCAACCGAGGTACATGCCCTTAGCGGGAACTGAACCTGAGTCTCTCGGGACCGCAGGCTGACACTCTGACCACTGAGCCAAACCAGCCAGGGCACTAATTTCTTCTTGTAGGGAGTACAGTGAGATTGACTCCATTACTGTGATTTTAAATCTTAATGGAAATCTTTTGCTGCTTTTAGTTTAAAATTTTATACAAATTTATTTATAAAAATTGTCCAATGCAATGATCAAAACCAAGGAAGACAATGATAAACTTCAAGAATTATTAAGCAACTTCTTTTCTGAAGTGTCCTAATTGAATACAACCTTTTAAGTATTACTTAGTATTTTGTCCTGTGGCTTAATCAGAAATATTCAGTCACTCTCTTCTCTTTCCTTCTTTCCAACCCCTAACAAGAAAGCTTCTCTGCAGCTCTGCTTAGATTCCCACCTTGCTAATGTTCATCCTGAGCTACAACTCTGAGCAAAAGAAAAGACGAAAAATAATTTCTAACCATAATGCACTGACAATGTTTAAAATATGGAAACACATAACCTTGCACAGAACCTTTCTGTCAGGTTCCTTTTTATATAATCCTTCAAATGAAATGTGTATTGGAACAGAATACTTAAGGAAGGAAGTGCAAATAAAAATACCTCACTCTTTAATCAAATTACCTAGGGGACATTTACTCTGTATGTCAGTTTCCTTTTATGAAAAAATCAAATGTGATGCTAATCCATATAAAATATTTTCCGATGTTCCCTAATATATGTATTTTTCTTTATTTAACTTAAGGCTATTTAAAATATTCTTCAATAATGGAAAGAGTTTTTATTTCATTACTTTAATCAGGGAGGGATTACTTCCATTTGCAATTCATCTATTTTCTTCTCAACTTTAAGCCAAATGTTGTCCCATAATACTACTAAGAGTGAATTAAAAAATTTAGGAGGATCTGACTTATTCATTCAACAAATATTTGTTTAAAACTCATTATGCACTAATCATAAAAATGGATGTATTTTAGTTCAGAGTGGTCTAATGAAGTGATCAGCTTAATTTTTTTGTGAGGTTCATAACCTGAGATCCATGGGAGGACTTTAGTGGGTCCCCAAATCTCTTAAAATTATTTAAAAAATGACATGTGTGTGTGTGCAGGTGTGGTTTTTTTAAATTTTATTTTTGTTACAGATGTTTCTCCTTTTTTACCCCATTGGCACCCTCCCATCCCTGGCTTTGTTGTCCATGTCCATTGGTTATGCGTACATGCATATAAGTTCTGTGGTTTATCTCTTCCCACCCCCACCACCCCCTCTTCTGAAGGTTGTCAGTCTGTACCCTACATGTGTGTTTTTATCTATTTCTCTGGGGTGAGGGTTCATAGTTTTATCATATTCTTATACTGTTGTTAAATATGCACCTGTGTTATAAGAATATAGCAAAGGGGTAATTTTAATTTAGAAGACATTAAAATGGAACAAACATGGAATTTACTAAAACATCATCTTCTATAGGATAGGTTGTTATAAAACCATTCCATTTAAAATTACTCATAGAAGTTGGAGAGAAAATCTTGTGAAGGTGGCATTGTACCTCCAGGTTTGAAGGCTTAGCCAGTGATGAAGAAACCAGAGTCTAAGGAGTCACTTTTTAAACTTCTCACACCAGAATTACCCAAGAAAGAAACTCTGGCTCATAAAAGCAAATGAGACTTTTAGTGAACAGAAAATTCATGACTCAAGATAATTTCTTTTATCTTATCTTTTCCCTCTGTTGTTCTCTGTTCCAAACAACATGCTAGTGACTTCCGTCTTATAAAGTGTTTCAAGACTTAATCCTGGACTGGGAGAAGCTACTTTTCTGTCCTTTGCTGATGGTTAAGGTTCAGTGAATGGATGTTAATTACAACCCTAAGATTATATGTAATAACAGTCACCCTAACCTCATTTTCTATTACACTTACCCAACTCATCCACATTGGGAAACAATATGCAGATTTACTTCCAAACACTTTAAAGCCAACTATTTAAACCTTCCTCTTGGTTTGGGATTGCTACCCTAGTAATGTGTTCTTCAACCAGAACTGCTTCCTGCTGAGTCCTAATGGAAAAAGTTGGTCCCTTCCAGCCTTCCACTTTTGCTTTTTAGAGGGAAGAAAAAGTGCAGAACTGTGAACGGAAGCATAATTATTGTGGACTAATGCTATTAAAATGTCATTGCTTCCCCAGAGGGATAAAAGTGATAAAATAGAATTTCACTGATTTTCTCTAATGACCCGTTGGTTGGAATAATAAGAATGTGATAAAAAAAGAACCACAACTGAAAACAAACATCTCCCCGCCTTTCCGTCCAAGATAAATGCAGAATGCCCATTTTCCCCGCCCCCATATGCTGCTCTCTGGCTTGTGGGTAGGAACGTGAATCAGCGTTAAGTTGGGACCTCTGGGCTTTCCTGCACACAGACACAAACCAGTATGCTGTCCGTGCACCTCGGTCGCCTGCCTGGACAGTTATGAGGGCTTTAATCACTTATTAGTGATATTTGTGCGTGCCTAGCAGATGTGAGGGTTAAGTAGCATATTATGTCCCAGAGGCATGCTGTAGCCTTCTTGCCTGCTTGGGCACAGGAAGCAGAAGGAGCTTCCTTGAGAGTCTAGGGTGATGAGGCCCCTTTGCCATTGAGGCCTTCATGGCTAAACTGAAAGGTCCGTTGGCAGCCAAGCACCTTAGCTGATTATCATCAGCTTTGGAGAGAAGACAACCCACACAGATGGGGAAGGGTTTGAAATGGAACCGCGCAAGTAGCAGTGACTGAGCATAGGGACACCGTGGCTGTCCTCTCGCATCATTCACCCATTGATGTTTCCAGTGCATGTGTGTTCCCATCCAGGCAACTACAAAGTTGGATCTTGATCCTTGTGGTCTAGCATGACCATTGTCCACCCACTTACTTCTTTGACTAGTCAGGAAATGGCGAAAAACACAACTATGGTTTAGTTCTAAGTCCTATATTCTACTGACTGAGCAGAGGCACACGCGAGGGAGGTCACTAATGGGGGGGGCAGTCAGTCACGCAGTAGTCTCCCTCAATTAAGCTGTCCCTGGAGAGGCCTGAAGAGTAGGAGGTAGGACAGGCCAACAGAAGTACAGAAGTGAAGGAAGGCAAAGTGCAAGGGCACTGGAATGGATTACTCACCAGTCCCCTGAATGGCTTTGCGCGTCCAAGCATAGGGGCTGTAGTGGCTTTTGCTGGGAGAACAGGCGACCGAGGTTCCAGCATCTGTGGGGAACAGTGACCCGCCAGCCACAACTGGCAGGCTGCCACCAGTACTTCCATAGTCTGCAGGGTCAAGGTTCCTGTATTCCTGTGAGCTGAAAGCGGTCGGGTTCGAGGTCACGTCGTTCATGGGCACCGTGCTCATTGCACCAGAGGGCCCTAGGTACGACGCGCTACAGTCTTCCGGTGGAGGGCTATAGGGTGAGCCCCAGGCCGCTAACGACGTCTGGTGAAGATCTATGCTGGCCACATGAGAGTACCCCATGTAGTGAGTGTAAGCTGGGCCGGCCATGAAGTTGGAGACTGGCAGCGCACTCCCACCGCCCCCAGTGCTGCCAGCCCCAGCCGTGCCGCCTCCCGCAGGGCTCCTGAGAGTGCCCGGGTACATGCCCACTTCCTTTTCCAAAAGGCAGCTTCTGTACATGGTGGCTAGAGTGTGAGGAAGGAGTTCCCTAACCCATCCTGAAGTCCCTGTACCTCCCGGCCCTACTTTGAAAAGCAGCAGGGAATCAATAGTTCAGTCTGTACCTGTGCTGCACTCTCTTCTGCACTCCTCAGCCTGCTCCATCTGGCGTTTCCTACCCGAAGGTTTCCAGGTGACTGGTAGCCAGGGTACAGAAGGGCAATAGCTGGGCTGACGTCAAGGGGCTATAGGCTTTTACATAGCATTTGCATTCAAATGAAGGGCCATTTCACTTTTCACAAGGACTTGTTCACTCTATGCTCCCTCTCCCAGAGCTCACAAGCCTTTCTGTCTTATCTTTCTCACTTTTCTCCATCTAGTCCCCACAACATTACTCTTGCACTTTTGGAGGCAGGAACTCCTCCAGAGGTTTCTGCCCAGCTCCCTTCATAGTGGAATGAAGATGTTTTGAAGCAGAACCATGTTCTGCCCTTTGGGATTTAGTCCTTACTCTGGGGTCTCCTCACTTTCCATTGGTCTTCCGGAGTCCAGTATGTATGGTAGTATCCCCTCTGCCCACATTATTTGGCAAGGGTACTCAACACGGCACAGGCCCATTATACCACAACCATATATTGTGTGCCTACTGTGTGCCAGGCACTGTTGTAAACTCTGGGAATATACCACTGAACAAGAGATACACATTTCTGCTCTCCATTCCTAAGGTTATATTCCAGTGTATGGGAGGCTGGATTCATGGGATGTTTTACAAATACAAATAAATTAAAGAGAGGTGAAGAGGGTAGATTATGGAAAAGGGAAGGAAAAAGGGAACAGAATCATGTGAGTAGTAGCCTTGATTATTTCCAGGTCAGTTTACTAGTCTCAGATGTCTCTTTCTGCCAGGTATGGCTTCTGCCTCAAAGCCAGTGCCTCAAGGGCCCAAATTCGTGCAGTTTCAAACACCTGGCAGCTGCATCGCCCAGGTTTTTTTCACACCTGAGGAGATTTCCTTTGTAAAGTTCTACTTGTTTAAAAAGACATGGGCTTGCTAGTAGATGACAATGAACTAAAATTATTGCTTTAAGAAACCAGGTCACCTCTTGACCACAAAACCAATCTGTATCCCAGTGTCCCTTCCCTCTTTCCCCCCTCCTCCAGAGAAACCTACCACGACCTTTAGTTCACGCAATAAGACCTTTAGTCCAGGCGATAATCCATAATCGTACTCAGGGAAAGTGCTCCTCTATAAAGTTCAATCCAACCTTGCATCCCCATTACCTTAATCGTTCTTTGGCTTTGGGAATATCACCTTACCTCTGGGAATTTCAGGGTTTCTCCCAGTGTAAAATAACAAGATTTATTGAGATAATGCATGCAGACTGCTTAACTTAATGCTTGGTACACAATATGGAACCATTGTACTATATTCACAAATTCACTCAACAAATATTTATTGAATTCCTAGGTGCTGTTCTATGAATGGAGATATGAGTAGTGAATACACAAAGCCCCTGGCCTTGTTAAGCTTGTATTCTAGTGGGAAGAGGCACTAATAGGTAATTAAACTTTATGGTGTCAGATAATAATAATGCTATTTAGACAAAGAAAGCAAGAAGTAAGATAGGGAATGCTGGAGGGTTTTGCAACTTTAAATGGGGTGGTCTGGGAGGACCTCACTTACAAATGACATTTACGTAAAACATAGAAGAGATTATGGAGTGAGCTGTGAAGAGAGGATCCAGACAGAGGGAACAATAAGTGAAAAGAGAATGGCTATCTCCAATTGGAGAAACAGCAAGGAAGACAGTGTAGTTAAAGAGTAGATGAGGTCCAAAAGTTAAAAAAGAATAGATCATTGTAAAGATTCTAATTCTTGCTCTAAGTGAAGTAGGCAGACATTGTACGGTTTTGAGGAGATGAGTGACATGATTTGACTTAAATTTTGAAATGATCACTCTGGCTGTTGGATTAAGAACAGATTGTAAATGGGCAAAAAAATAATCGGGCTGATTAATTAAAAGACTTATAATAATCCAGGTGAATGGCATTGGGTGTAGAGAGAAAGTGGTTGGATTCTGGATGTATATTGAAGCCTGGTTTAGAGAAGAGGAAGGAAGAGAAGGAATAGAAGTAATTGCTCAGCAAAGACTAATTAAAGCATGTCACAGGGGAGAAGGGACTGAGGGGCAGGAAGTAACATACCTGTAGGCACATTTTACTCATGATCTAATTTAATCTTCACATCAACCCCATCAGTTATTTATTATAATTCCTATTATAGAGATGAAGAAATTGAGGCTCAGAGAAGTAGCATGACTGTTTAAATAAACTACAAGTGTATATTAAAGCTAGGCTCCCATCCTAGGCCATCCTGACTTCAAAGTTCATGTTCTTGGACTGGAAATGGACTAACTATATAACTTCAGAGATTAGGTCTGGGGCTTGGCTTCTATTTTCTTTCTCTGTTCAGGCTCCCAGGCCTGGCATTCAACACTCTTCATAATATTGACCCAATTACCTTGCATTATTCTTTTTCACCTGTTCTATCCTGAGGCAAACTGGTCTACTTGACAATTGGAAAACTATTGTCAGGATGGAAGTACATGGAGGACCTTTAAAAGTTAGCTAACCAATATTATTTACCTATGAAGAAACTAAGGGTCTTAGAGAAGTTGTTCTTTAATGCAGTGAAGGACAGAATTCAGGTTTGTTAACCCCCAGATCAACCCTCCTTCCACTGAAAAATACATCTTTGCTTATGTAATTTTCTTCGTCTAGACTTTTTCTCCAGAAAAATTGTTTAAAGTTTTCTTATTCTTCAAGGTTCAGCTAAAATGCCTCCTCACCCATAAAGCCCTGTGTGATTAAAAAAATTTTTTTCTTTATTGATTCCAAAAGCTCTCTTCCTCTTGTCTGAATCCTGTTAACTCCCTTCACCTACTGAATAATACTATTCTTGTCCACTTTAGAGTTATTTGGGGTCATATTAGAATATTTTGGAATTTAAGCATCTTGAAGGGATGTGAGGATGTGTGTTTGAGCCCAGAAGAGTGGAGTATCATGCGCATGGTAGGGTATCAGTAAATATTTGTGTGTTGAATGAATAAATGACCTTGGAACTATAGATTGGAAATCACCATTTTGCCCCAACCCCAGGGATATCTGGAAGAGAAGTCAGTAAAAACATTGTCCAGTGCTTGACAGAACTTGGCTTCAGGGTTATTCTAGTTTTGTGTTTCTGTTTACTTATTTCCAGGGGGTGGACGGGAGTGAGATAAAGGGGTAGGGAGGTAGGAGGGGGGAGGTGGACAGCCAGGGAGGCTCAGTGTAGTTTATTTGACTGGAAATTTTGATTTTTTCTTCACCTAGAGATTAATCAAACAGGTAACCTTATTGAAGGAAGCAGAGTGGCCAGCAGCAAGAGTGAAACCCCACAGGCTAAAGATCAGGGCTCAGGCCATGCAAGTATTATTTAATGCCACTAAGGAATTATCTTTTAGTTTTTCTGAGACTTAGAGAGGCATTAGTCAAATGGAATCTCTGTTATACCCCACTCCACTGCCCAGCTCTGGGCTGATCCCCACAGATGAGGCTAATTGTAAGGCTTGATAATGAATGTGAAACTGCTTTATAAACAACGCAATCTATCTGAGGTGGTCTAGGGGATCTGGGTGAGCCTTTTCTTTAGCAGGCTCAATGGTTGGGAGGCTCTCACTGCCTGGTAAATATTTTCTAAGCCTAGTGTGGCCTCTCAGAGCTGCCAGAGTAGGCCAGGACTACTCTCTATCTCCCCATTCTCCCCTATCTCCCTGCCCAAATTTTGGCCTAGTTCAGCCTCTGCAGGGGGACAGGGAGAAAGGAAGGAATCTCCTTGTACTATGGAGTTTGGCTTCTGTTGTCAATCATTGGGCCCTCTCTCCTACTGGGAGAGAGATAAAGAATGCACATTAAGTCCCTCTTACTGACAGGGTAACTGAGGCTAAGAGTAGAGCAGGGACTTGCCCGAGGCACTCACTAGTGAATGATCTGTACAACTTGGATTTAAACCCAAGCATAATTGACTGAGGAACTCTGCAAGGCAGCCTACCACTCTACTTATTTCAGCTTCAGTTTCCAACAGAAAAAAAATTGGACCGACAGTAGAAATCACTCTGTACGTATGTTGGGAATATTCAGTGTATCAGTGGTATGCTCAACAAATGGCCATTATTATTGTCATCCACAAAGTGGCCGAGACTTCCACAGGGCACAGGCTACAGTGCCTCCCCTTGCCAACATCCATTCTTCAGAAGGTGCTGAAAAATTATTTTTTAAAATTTTATTTTTTCCATTATCATTGATCTCCTCCATGTCCTCTTGCATCTCCACCCCCCCTGCCACACTGTTGTCCATGTCCATGAGTTGTCTCTCTACCACCACTCCCAAACCCCCCACCAGAGCTGTCTGCTTGGTATCTATCTATGAGTCTGTCTCGATTTTGCTTGGGTCAGGGAAATATTATACAGGAGAGAGGGAGGAGGAAATCAGAGAGGCCAACCAAGAATAAGGAGACTGCACTAGAGTCTGAGAATATAGGGTGGGTTGATTCTCTAAAAGAAAAAGAGAAATTCAAGTCCTTGTTATTTGCCTGGGGAAAGAGCCAGAAACCCAGTTCACAGAGCATGCACTCCAGGCCAAAACCAGTGCTTGTCTTTCTGGTGTGAACTGCCATTAGGCTTGCTGCAATCAAAGAGGGTAGATGGTATCAGCTCTGAGTTACAGTGTTGGGGGGATGGAGGTGAGATTTAGTAACTGACCCAAGGTAAAACATCCAGTAAGAAGCACCTACTAAAGTATTATCTAGTCTGACCACAATGTTATGCCCATATTTATTGAACACAGGATAAAAGGGAAAATTGGCGTAAACTATAATGGGAGAGATTTAGATGACTTCTGAGGAAGAACATGTTCACTATGAGAGCCAGGAAGCACTGGGCTGGATGAACAAGTTCATGTAAGAAACATGGGGTGGTCTTTTT